ATCTGTACTAGTTTCATCTGACAAATCTGAAATCAATGTACATTAATTTGAATCCCATTTACATAAAATATTTGGAGTATTAATTAAACAAGCTGATTAATTTAGATTATTATCACAAGTAGTAAAAGTTTCATTGGTTATAACTGAACATCTATAAGTGTCTGAATTATATTTTACTTTAGATTCAAGACAACTAATACAAGCCTTTTTACTTACTTTATTGCTTATTAATTAAGAACATGTATATCCTGTGGCATCTTCACATTTACTAGAATAAATGCAAGATTGATCAACTTAACTACAAATTTCATCTTTATTGGTTACTTTTAATTGATTAACTTCATAACATAAGTAATATTAATTAGTGCTTGTTTTCTAAGGTACAGAAGCTGTCTTTTAACAATAATTAAGTTTAGTATAGTTACATCCCATGGCTTCACACATTGTTTAACTCATACTTTTATCACATTTATCTATTTTAGTTTCTCCTTATGAAAGACTTGGTTCAGTTGATACACATTTATTATTTAATCTACATGCATCACTAGCTGAAGCACAAATTACTGGACTACTTTCGTTCGAATATTAATCACATTCTAATCCTAATTAGACACTACCATTGTTAATGCATTTTGTTATTCCTCTTGATATTGATTTGCATTATTTTCCTGGTTATAGATCTGGATCAGCTGAAGATAGTTCACAGATTATTCCAGGTGTTGAACTAACATTACAAGTATCAACTAATGAAGTACAATCAGGTAATTTATGTTGATTATTACTTAAAGGTAGACACCCACCTTAATTAATATCAAAATAACATTATTGTACAACCATTTCTAAGCATAGAGCTCTTGAATATACATTTAAACAATTAGGTAAACTACTTATTAAACTTTAACCATAGCAAACATCTCTATAGCGATAGATTGTATTACCATCCTAATCTTGACCCCAAGGGTAACTTTCATTGGCTACAAAATAGAAACCAATTGTTGGTTACCAAATTTCACAAGTTTTTGTAACTGAATGCCAATAGCAATATTTCTCAAAATGGCATTGTTACGCATTGTTAGTGTCCCCATAACATACCCTAAATCCATCTGTGGTATCTAGATATTAACTTATTGAGACACATGCAATTCTATTGTAAAAGTAACCACTTATTTATTATGATTTAAGATTAGTGCATGTTTAGGTTTCAGTAATTTCTACATCAACACATTTTAATGTATTTTAATTAAAATAACAACTAGATGGTATTTGCATACAAACTTCAATATTTATTGCAACATTAGTAGAACATTTGGTTTATTCACCTGTAAATGGTTTACACTTATAATTTAAGGGAGATTCATTGTGATCAAAATAACAATAATTATTTTGAGTATGAAATAAACACGCATATTCGTTCATGTGAAGACTTTGGCATGTTTAATTCGTATTTGTTAATGCAACACATTTATAATCAGAATCATTATGATAGAAAGCACCTCCAGTAATTGAATAACAACCTAATCTATTGTATAAATTATTAGATGAAACAAATTATTTATCTGTTAATGTCAATTTTATGCATTTGAATTTGCTATTATCCCAAATACAAGGTTCCTTTGTTACCAATACACATAAATTCTTGTTGAGATAATCCTCACATCCTAATTATGAAATTTCAGTTTGATTTTCATAACATACATAAGCTTTAGGATCCCATCTACATTATCCTCCTGTATTTTTATAACAAGTTATAGAATTTGCTCCTGTGACATCACAACCACTATCAGATTTGATATTTGTATACTTGCATGCTTTATTACTTGAATCATATTCACATAATTAACCATCCTTAGTAATTCTTACACAAGCACTTTAACTTACAGGACCATTAGAATTAAAATAATCACATTCTACATCAGTAGGTGCATCAATACATTTATCATTAATAAGTGAAAATTAACAAGCTGTATTTGGATTTTCAATACATGCTTTATAATTCTGATTATATGAACAAGTATAAATTTCCTCATATTCATCTGGAGTGATATCTTAACATCTTAATAGTATAGGATTCCATTTACACAAAATATTTGAAGTGAATCTTAAACATACATTACTATTTCCTTAAGCAGCATCACATGTAAGATAATTAGTTTCAATATTTGGTTTGCATCTTTTATAGAAATCATCATATAAAAAGTATTTTAAGGTATTTCTATTTGTGATAGTTGCTTCAATTGCTAGACAACCATATCTATTAAGAATTGCTGGAAATTGTATAAATATATCTAAATTTCCATAATTAGAATAATTTAAATTAACACAAGATTTTCCATTGTGATAACATAATTATTTTGTTGACCATTCAATCATATGACATGAATTTCTATTCATTTAAGAACATCTCATTTAATTTGCATTGTAGTAATTCTTAACTGCATCTGGTTTTGAAATATCAACCACATCAGGAGTCAATTACTAACATCTTAAATTGGATCCAAAAAAACAATAAACACCAGGAGTTTAAGATGAAAATCTACTACATGAATGAGCATTTATTCCTATCTTCTCTGTGCAACAAGGTGTACTACATAAATCAGTATTTTTAGAACATGTTCCAGATTCAGGCATAAATTTACAGTAACCTCTATCAACATCACTATTAATTCCAATTCTAAAATCATAATCTGGAAATTCCATTTCTATTGCAGCACATACATTTGCATTTACTTTAACACCTGATGAAAAATTAGAACATTTTTAATTCAATAAGACTGTTTAATTTAAACATCTACTTTATCTATCTGACCATTAACATAATTGTCCAAAGGTTATTATCTTAGTACAAACATCCATAGTAGGTGAACTAGATTAACATTACATATTTTATAGTAACTCTGTCACTTATGCTGCAGTATCAGGATTAATTGAATCTAATTATTTACATCTATTCAATTCTGTATCAAAATAACAACTACCTACTACTTAAGCACATGCATATGTATTTAATCCAGCTGTATTACATGTCATTGTAGATATTATTGAATTAACACAACTCTTTTCAATTTCTAAATATCTACATTATTCTTTTCCATATTCAACAAGTGCACATGCTTAAGGATTAACAAATTACATTTTTAAACATTCTACTTATGCTACATCTACCTTTTTTCTTATTTATTAACATTAATTTTAATTCCATCTACAAATTTATCCTTATGTTGTTATTGATGCACATGCTACTCTATTTAATCCTTTTTTTCTATTTTAACATTCAAGAGTATTTAATAAACTTTAACTATTAACTATATCAATACTCTCACATTTTGATGTATCCTCATTAAAATAACATCCTTTTTAAGAATTCTCATAAACTTAAGAACAAGCATTAGGATTTGCAAATTATAAACTATCACATGTAGTTTCAAGTGCCTTAATTTCTATTTAAATACATCCATTTAAAGTCCATTAACATGGTTATCCAGGTTTTGTTATGCTAACACATCCAAATAAATTTATATATGGTGAATCACATAAATCATTAGCATCACTATTCATACATCGATGTGTTAATGCATTATATTTACATGATACATTTGGTTTAGATATTGCTTAACATACATTTCCATTATATTTAGTAATAGTGTCATTTTTATTTAATTCACAATCCAAATCTTAATTTATAATTTATCTAATGCAACTTTATCCATCCCATTTACAATATTAATATTATGTTTATACATTAACACAAGCATCTTCATTTAATAACATTTCACATTAATAATATTTTAAATCTTCTAAAGTAATCTCTTCACATTTACCATTTGTAAATGTACAATATTAATTTTTTAATGATAAACATAGTTCTTTGGTTAATCCATTTGTATTGCATGTTAATTTATCTGCATTTGTTGGTATTTTACAAAGAAAGTTTTATGTATCAAATTTGCATTTACCTTCAAATTATTGACATACACTTTAATTTACTTCTCTAACATTTTCACATTTTGAATCCAAAGTTTTTACAAAGCTCTGACACTTACCTAATTTCCATTAACATAATAGTTTTGGATTATTAATACCTAGACATCCTAATCTATTCAATTCCATTTCACATTTATTTATATTTACTGATTTTATGTCATAACACTTATTCTAAATAAATATGCCTATTATATTTGTTGATATTAATACATTGTTGATTAGATGTTGATATTGAAATACAAGTAGCTTAATTTATTCCTAAATCAGTACATTTCAATTTCCCTAATACTTATTCATTAACACTAATACACTTGTAATCTTAAGGAAAACCGCCATTCATGCCTATTTTAAGATAGAATCATACATTTCAAATTCTATATCTTCGAACATAATGATGGTGTCACTGAATTCCCAAATATAGACTCACATTATTCTCCTTCTGGAACAATACTAACATATTCAGTGCATTTATTTCCATTCCAAATACAATCTTTTTTTGCTACATTTGTGCATGCATACTTCGAGAACCTCTCATCACACCCCAATCTTATCAGATGAGTAGGTTTAATAGATACACATCTCTTTCCAAATGTGCCTTAAATCAATATTAAAATTCTTACATCGAGCTTCCTCTCCAATCGAATTAGTAAGTTAATTTAAGCATGCTAACTAGTTTAATGTAGGCTAACAACCATGACTAGTTGATGAAGTATCCATACAAGAACTTTCAAACTAGTTATAATAACCTATTTTAGATGTAAAATTTACATTTGATTCCTATTGTTTAGCTAACACATGCAATTGAATCTAATGGGTAATAGTTACAAAACATCTGATGTGTTAACATAAATGAATAGCTAATTAAAAGCAGCTACAATATTTTCATTAATAATATTAATATAAGTCTAAATAGTTTTTTTTTGTTTAAATTTGCGATATTTGAAAAACCGGAATTTATATATCTGATTAATGTATGATAATTGTATATTATTTTAATATAATTCAATAATTAATGATTTTGTCATTCTAAATATTTATATTCTTGTAATAACAATAATAATCCAGGATTACGTTATAAAAATTTTACAAAAGCATTGGCTTCTATTTTTAAAATAGATCCCTCTCTAACAGCCTTAACTGTTGTTGTTAATTTTTCACCTTTCAAAATAGCGTTAATTTCACCTATAAATGAACCAGAATCAAATTCTTCCAATTTCTAGTTTATTTAATTATTTTACTGCTTCATCACAATCAATAAACACAAATGCTCCTTTTCTAATGAAAAATACAAAAGTTGCTTCATCATCTTTCTTCCATAAAATTTGACCTTTACTAATATCTTATTATTACATAATCATTTCTAATTATGTTTTTTAAGTAGGAGTCAATTATGAAAAATGTGAATTTCTAAATAAATTAATAATTTCTTACTTAAATAAAATTTATATTGCTTATTATTTTCTTGCTTCCATCAATTACATCATTTATTCAATTACTGGTCCTTATCCTTCAAATCCATCACCAAATATAAACCAGAAATCATGTTTATCAAGACTTAATACCCTTAAATCTGTAACAGCAAGTACTGAAGCTTTTCTTCTTCCAGTTTAAATTAAAGCAGACTCTCCAAAATAATCTCCAGTTTATAAATATCTTTAAAATTTATTCTACTTCTAATCAGAAAACACTTTAGCTAAACCAGATTCAATAATATAAAATTTATGTCCCTCTTAATTCTCTTAAATTACTAACTCTCCTTCCTTATACTTTTCTAATTTTAGAGCATCCATTAAGAATTTAGCATTATTCAAAGTTAATTTATCAAAAATGTCAATTCTACTTATTATATCCATTTTTCTATTTAAAGGTATATCTTATTAGACATTTGGTCTAATTAAAATTAGAGTATTTTCAATCCCTGGTTTTGCTACTTTCAATCCAGATCCTTTTAGTACATCTTTTGCAGCTACATGTACTAAATACATTCGATTTTTAACTTAATTAGGTAATTATGATAAAACAGTCTAAGATGTATGTATAGGAGGAACTCCAGCCTCATGTAAAATAATATCTTCAGTGAATTTTGGAGAATTCAATTATCTACATCTTGCTTAATTTAAATGTCCTTATTTATATAATTCTTCTATTTTAACAGGATCATAAAATGTATCTCCACTAAAATAAATAGATTTGTTTTGATATTTAACTCTGAATCCAATACAAGGAATAGAATGAAAAGCATAAAAGAATTCAAATTCTGCTCCATATATATTTAAAGGAACTCCTAATATAGCAGGTCTAAATATAAATAAACTTTTAATTTATTCTTATGATAAATTAGAAATTGCAGAATATTTTCTTAAAAATGAATACATAATAGTTCTTGTTGTGATTATTTCAACTTTACTGTCATCTAGAATTTTATGAAATGCTCCTGCATCATGATCAGCATGACAATGACTTATTATAATAGCACTAATCATCATAGGTGGAATTCCCATCTTTTTTAAATGATAACTAGTATATGGAGGAGGATCTACCATAATTCCTCTTCCATTAATCCAAAATATATAACCAGATGTAGAACCTTTTGGATCAAATCCATGAGACTAATTTAATTTATTATATTTACACATCCTAAAACTGTTACACCAAATTCAGGAGCTTAAAATGTAAGACCTTCATTAAGTTCTATACTTCCTTTTTTTTATAATTTAGCTTCTCCATTTTTATTCCATAACAATAAATTTGGCATACTTCCTATTTCTTGATCATCTTCATCAGAATCAACTTCATCAAAATTTTAAGTCAAGCTTGGAGGTTTTTTACCATGTTTCATCTTTTTCATTATTAATAATGATGGAGGAGTTATTTCAGATTTTCCTGAACTATCTATTTTATGTAATGATAATAATTTATCATATTCTTTAGGAAAACTAAATTTATCAGGGAAACTTATCAATAGATTATCATTATCATATATTGTAAATTCTTTTTCTTCTTTAACAATTTTTACTTTCCCTATTTAAGCTACATTATTCTCAAAAATAACAAATTTTAATAATGTTTCTGAAGTAAGTTTTTCATTCAAATTCATAGGATTTTTTGCAAATATTGCCAATTCTTTCTTAAAATCTACATATTCAATAGGATCTACATCAGGATGATAATCATTTTAAATTTACTATAAGCTATATACTAAAATATTACACTAAAATCTTTAGGACCTAACAATGTTTCTTAAAAAACTATCTTAATTGAGTTTGCAGTTTCAGTATCGCATATCAATGTTACTTATCTTTTTTTAATAAAGAAATTGAAATAAGCTGGAAATTCAAATTCAGCAACATTGATTCCAAATTATTTATTGAATCTCTAGGTAGGTATAATATAAAATGTAGGGACTTCTACTCCTAAAGACATTGAATCTTTAACAGTTTCTGGAGGTAATCCAAACTAAATAGGACCTTCACTTGTCTTAATAATAAGACCCCCTCTATTTAATTTCATGGTTTGTACTGTAGAAATTTACTCTTAAGGTTTCAATTCCTAATTTAATTCATTAATATCTTAGTGAAACTATTCTTTTGATGTGCAAGCCATATAAATTGATAAAAAATATAATGATTTAAATAAAATCCATCATATCATATTTATATATATATATTATTTTTTAAATATCATTTAGCAACAATTCCAAAACTTATATGTTCTTATTATACTGTAAGAATTTAAGTAATTCCATTTCGACAAAGAAAGCAAGCTTCAGTATTTCCTATACAATGAGCACAAAATTTGCCATGACCACAAGGCATAAAAATCTTTTCTCCAATTTTATCTTAACATATAATGCATAAATTTTATTCTTCAGAATTCACAGATTATAAATCATTACTTAACATTGGAGGTTGACTTGATTATCTTTATCCAACATTTGTCATAATTGGTTTATAATAATTAGTTGAAACTCTTTATAAAATTGTTGTTGCTTATTCATAAGGTTATTATTTTTATTCTAAGTCCTTTCCAATTTCTAAATTAAATATGAAATTTGTATAATATAATTCCAAATCTCTTTTTTTGTAATAAATGAATAATGTTAAAATAATGAATAAAATAGGTAGAATTATTATCAAGGCATAATGATTGAAATATAAAAAGATATTTGTCAAAAATATTGTTGTCTAATATAGAACAAATTACACATAATAGGTAACTTTATATTAATAATATTAATTACTTTTTTATTTTTCATTCTTTTTTATCAAATTTGGAATTACTTTTATTATAAAATATAGAATTGATACAAAAGTTATTACTCCATTTAATATTAGTAATATTAAAAACAACCATAAAACTTATATCCAATCCCAAGAAACAAAATTATCCAATTTTAGAGTTACTGATAAAGTTTCAACTAATATTACTATCTTCCATAGTACATTAAACTATTATGTCATTCTTTATGCTATACGAACTATTAGAATGCAATAAATGCATAGTATTTCTTTTTATTGCAATATATTAGCAATCTTAGGATCAACAATAATAATGGAAACATTATTAACATCATATAAAATTGAATTTCCAACATAACAATTAAAATATAACACATTTTCATTAAACAATAAATGAACGATTCTAAATAATAATAAACCCTTAATTCCTTTTGTAAACAATAACAAGTTTAAACCAATTTGCCTATTTAAAAATATCACAAATATTACATATATCAATAAATATTAGACAAATAACAATCTATATTATTGATAAAATATTTTCTAAATAGAAGGAAATTAATAAATAAACATATAGATATAAAATGATTTCTAGGTATTATTCTCTAACAAATTCTATTGCTAATTATTTTATTTCTGCTTCTAATTATACTTTCATTTGATCTTGTTATTCTTACATATTTTATAATAAACTTAATAAATTTATTATCAAAAAAAATCTTTATTTATTATTTTTCTTTAAATATTATTATATATCACTAAAATCTATTCTTTTTTAAGTAATATAATTCTCATTAAAAAATTACAAATTAAAATAAATATCTGTTTCATCAAAACAACCAAGATCAATTCATAAGTTGCAAAATGAAGTATGTTAATATATAAATATTACTAAGTTTTCAATTGATATATTTATATTTAATGAATTATTTTTGACTACAAAACTATTAATAATTAGAGATATTTGTATTTAGAATCACTCTATTTTTTTAAGTCTCTTTACATACATATTTGATAGGGAGATATCAAGTTATTTCAATTTTATATTATACAATGTGAATTATTTATATTAATATTAAAAACGGATTGTATGAGGAAATTAGTTTCTATACTTTTGATTTCTCTCACCTTGGCAAGTCAAATTCAAGGTCCTTTATCTAATTAAGTAATGAATGAATTAGAATAAACTCATTTGGGCAAAGCTTTCTTGAAATTACTAAGCTTAAAATCAAAGGCATAACAATTTGATTTCTCTAAATTATATGCAGCACTTGATGACTTATAAAATTCAATTAAATAAAGATTGACTGATGAATAACAAGCATATTAGTAAGATGAAGTCTAATATTTCACAGATAAGGAATTTTTTTCAGGTCAAATCACACAATTCTAGAATGAAGTAATCTTATATCCTTACTTTATTAGATTGCATAATTAGAGATAGATGTTACAGATTTTACTGAAAGTAGAGACTTATTATAAATTGCTTTAAATGGAAAGATAGATGAATTGAAGGAAGTTTAATCATTAGCTGATGGATTATCTGCTAGAATCAAATAAGAAGAAGCTATCTTTAATGGTCAATAAAATTAATATACAAATGCTGTTTAAGCTCTTGATTCAGCTTTGTAATTGATTGGATAACTTAGAGATGGTTCATTCATTTAGAATAGAAGTGTTTCATTTTTAGAAGAAGGTCTAAAACAACTATAACATTAAAGAATTATGTATGCACCATTGATCACTGCATTCACTTAAATCATGGCACCAAGTTTCAATGATTCAGAAGCAACTGCAAAAGTTTAAAAGTTAATTCAAAATTTGAGAGATACTGTTGTTAAAAACAAAACAGACTTAGAAAATGCTTATTAATAAGTTAGAGCAATTGATGATCATAATATCAGCCAATATAATTAAAGAATAACCAATTTATCAACTATTGTAATACCTACAATATAGGCTGAAATATAAACTAGAGATTGTAATTATAATATATTATTGTTTAGCTTAAATTTAAACTAAGTAAAATTTACTTAGAGATGCTTAAACCAATTTTAAGACAGCTTCAGATAATTTAGATAATACTAATAACAGATGGGTTGAAAGGTATTAAAATTATTATATTTTAGAACCAATGAACATAATAAATTGATGGATTAGCTTTTAACTTAATAATCCCTATTTCCCAAGATTGTAACTCAATTAGAGGGAGCTGGAGTTAGAAGAAGATGATTTTCTTAAATTTAGCAAATATAATATTTAATAATATATATTTTTTAATTATCTTAATGTTTCTTAAACTTGATTTATTAAGAGCTATTATGAATTGACTGATATCAATATTAAAAAGAGTGTTTATCGATTTATAAATTATGGTAGAAAATGGATTGGCTTTTTGGAATTATAAGATCAATTATTGGGAACTATCAAATCAATTATTGGACTTAAATAATAATAGGATGCAATAAATGATATTTTAATAAAGAATATATCTAATTACAATAAATCATTTGGTTTATTCTATAATTTATAACAATAATGTTTGATTCTTCATTATATTTAATTTTGGTCTTGAAAATAATGCGAAAACTGAAGTTATTAAAGTATTGTTAGGTGTTTGCCATTCCAAGAATTTCTTATATTCAGATTTATGTTTAGCACATAATAACTAATAAAATTCAAATAAAATTCTTTTCATTCTTTATTTTGAAATTAGAATTGTTGGTTATTATTATCTAATATTTTAAATCATTTAATTCATCTAAATATTGAATTTGCTTCTTTATTATAAATAAAATTCTTAAATCAGTCTTACTTTTAGGTAGAAATTTATAAATGATTACTATAATTATGCTTGTTTTTTAATGAAATTTTTGTCTGCCAAACTTATTTAGATGAGTTATGATATTTATCTTTCAATCTTTTCATTTATTTAATTTGAGTATGAAGTCAAAGTTAAGTTGGCTTATATTAAAATTCTAGCTTTTAAACTAAAATTTTTTTCTTAAATCTGCTTCCATCTTTATGCATATAGTTTTGGAGAATTAGACATGCATTTTAATATTTTATTAATTTTAAAATGAGCATAGAGTGATTCAATTTGCTTAATGAAATTTAGTGTAATTATCCATTAATTGATGTATTTTTTCATCATTCTTGATTAATTTATAGACTTATATGATTATATTAACATTCTTTAATATCTTTGAACTACATTTTATGAGTATAATTAAAGTTTTTTCTGTTACACTTATAAAATTCTACTTTTTAATGGTATTGATCCACTCTTCTATCTCAGAACATTGAATCTACGATTTTCACTTAATGATTTTATGGGGGGGACAATGCTATCACTTAAGAGGGACTTTTCTATACTATTGTTATTTATAATGATTGTAGCATTATTTTTATCAGAAATACATGATTCATCATCTGTCTTATTATTATGTTGTGAAGTACTTCGCTTTTTGTGCTATTCTTAACCATAATAACAAAGAAAATAACATCTATCATATTGGGATTCTAATATAAAACAAAATTTTATACATTAAAACCATGCTTTAAGTTTAACTTAAGTACTAAAATCACATAAGAGAGAAATAAATAAATATTGTTTATGTTCTTCTGGCTTCTTAATTACAATAATTTTTTATTATTTTATAACAACATGTTTTTGATGATTCGTTTCAGATGGTAAGGAAGTTTAAAATGAAAAATAAGCATTGCATTTAAAAGCTCCTACATTGAAAAATATTTTTAAAGGGAAATAATCTTGAATCCTTATTTTTATATATTATGGATAGCCTTTCAATATAGAAATACTTGACCATTAATCATTTTCTAATTCTAAACAGTCATATTAGTAGTCTAGCTAATCTGATATAAGTAGATAATTCCTCTATAAAATAATGTAATACTAAAGTATAATTTTTTATTTAGTAAGGTTGGTAGATACTTTAATCCATAAAAGTCTTATTTTAAATAGTTTATATATTAAAACATTCATTTTTTATGAACTATGCATTCCTATAAATTAGTCTAAAACTCTTAGAATGTAATTTCACCGTCTTTATTGATATCAAAGAAATCAAAGACTGCTCTAGTTTCATCTTCATTTATACTTGGTTCAATTCTTTTCAACATCTAACCCATTTCTTTTAAATCTAATTTTAAATCAGCTGATTTATCAAACTAATTATATTGATAGATTATACTTTCTTAAACAAATCAATAAGTTAAATATTATATTTGATAATAGAAAGCTTTAATTTTTCTATCACATAATTTGCACGATCTTCTACAGTATTCTTTCCTAAAATTGATTATTTCTTTGATCTATCTCTAATCTATTTTTCTTATTTAACT